CGGAAGTGGCGCTGTGGCTCAAGTGGTAGAGCACTAGCCTTGAGCTGAAGAGCTGAGGGACAGCGCCCAGGCCCAGAGTTCAGGCCCCACTACCGGACCCCCCCCCAAAAAAAAAAAAAGAGTAGCACTCTACCACTTGAGCCACAGCTCTACTTCTGGTATTTTTTTCTTGAGGGGGTGGATTACTTAATTGGCAGTAAGATTCTCATGAACTTTCCTGCTCAGGCTGGCTTCAAACTGTGATGTTCAGATCTCAACTGTCTGAGTAGCTAGGATTACATATGTGAGCCACCACACCTGGCTTGTTTGTTCTTATGATATACTAAGTTTCAAGAGTGTTTATTTTATTCTTAAACCTCTGTTCTGTTATTAGACCATTGAATGTTGTATATAAAGCCTGATTATGTCTCATTAAAGACAGAAATAAAAATATATAAGTATTATGTCATATCAAATGCTCAGAAACTCCAGAAATACACTAAGCCAACAGTGGTTATCTAACAGTGGTTAATTATAGTTTTAATTAGATATTTTTCTACTTTCTAGACTTTGTATCTTAAATCTATATTAATATTGTGTTTAAAACAGTAAGTGCTGTATAGCTGGGAGGAGAGATTTTATCCTACTAAATATGTATATATACATATATATATATATATATGTATAATTCTGTGTAACAAATATACTTCAGTATCTGAAAGAGACCTAGGCCCAGGATCAATGAACTCTTAGTTCAATGAACTAAGAGTTACTTATTGGTATCACTATTATTATTATTAGGTTCTAGCTCTTCAAAGAAATTCCCAGGGAAAGTTGGCAAAGAAGATGGAACTAAAATCACACCTAAGAACTTTAAGAAAAGTGCCACAAAACCTGGCAAAAAGGGCATCAAACAATTCAAGAATAAACAGCAAGGAGACAAAGGACCAAAGAACAAATTGCAGCAAGCAAATAAACTCAACAGGAAGAGAAAATTCCAGGCAGATGGTAAAAGTGATGGTAAGCATTACTCCCCAGGGTGGCCTTTGTAGAGGCCTTTCTCTGTCAGGCAGTGTCGGCCTTTGTGTGTAGCAACTCTGGACATGCTTTTTGGGCAAGGAAGGAAAGGTAGATAGGCTTAAGTAAACAACACTATCTTTCCAGCACTATGGATTAAGAGGCAAGAGTACTTGACTCCGAGCTGGTGCAATCCTGTGCTATACAGAACCTTCTACCAACCTTCCCCTCCACCGTCCCCCCCCCCAAAAAAAAGCTGCTAAATGAATGATTGGAGTTTTTAAGCTAAATTTAAAATATGCAAACTACTCAGAAACTTACGTAAAGTTGAAAAGTATAGAAAATGGTGTTTTCCTCTTGTTGCCTCCACAGTGAGTAGAAGAAGCTAATCCTGATTAGTGTTTGCCCTTTGTACTTAATTCATAGTCCTATGTGGCACTCAGAATGTTACATGTGTCTTAAAATAATTTCCATAATGTTTAGAATCTGCAGCCAAGAAACCCAAATGGGATGACTTCAAAAAGAAGAAGAAAGAGCTGAAGCAGAGCAGGCAGCTCAGTGACAGAACCAATTACGATGTTGTCATTCGTGCAAAGCAGATTTGGGAACTCTTAAGAAGGTAAGGCCATTGACCAGCACCTTTTTGGTTTTTGGAGGTGATGAAAAGTATCAGTGTGCCCCCTGTTAGGAAGAAAGATACACTAAAATAAAGACATAGCACTTGCGTTACTTGGGAAGTACCCAGAATCTTCTGGTAGACGCAGTTGTGTTTAGATACCTGACTATTGCAGAAATATGTAGGATCATTAGGAGAGTGTCAGGTTATCAAAATGGATTTAACATTCTTCCTGAGAGATTTCTGAGAAAATGAAGGACAGTTTATCTGCTAGGTTCTGAGCTGCTTAAGTATTTGCTATTTTAGACTTGTTTTCGTTGTTTTTTTCTCTTTCTGAAATTCTGACTGTTAAGACTTTAGATTGATGCATAAGATTATACCTTGTGAGATGAGTTTCTGCCTCTGAGAAAATTACTTTTGTCTGGCAGCTCTGGAATAGCAATTTTAATGTCAGAGGTTTGCTGGTTTTGAAAAGGAAATCCATGCTAAACTGATGAGCACATATTGGTATAGTTTCATGTTTAAAATAACTTCTTACACTTTCTTCTCATGTAGAAAAGATTGTGACAAAGAAAAAAGAGTGAAGTTGATGAATGACTTGCAGAAGTTGATTCAAGGGAAAATTAAAACTGTAAGTAGAACGAATTCATTGTTTAACTTTTAAATCATACAAGTTTCCTGGTGGTTTGGAAAGGGCAATTGACTGTGACTTGAGAACTTGTGGTTTTCAGTGGTTTTGTCTAGAACTTTCAGATGTCTTTCATATTTGATTGTATAAGAATTAAATACAGATCACATATGCTTTGTCAGAAATACCTTAGGACTAGAAGAGTTTGGGGCTTTTTGTTTCTTTTTTTTTTTTGGTCAGTCCTGGGGCTTAAACTCTGGGGCCTGGGCGCTGTCTTTGAGCTCTTCAGCTAAAGGTGAGGGCTCTACCACTTGAGCCACAGCACCACTTCCAGTTTTCTGGTGGTTAATTGGAGATAAGAGTCTCACAGACTTTCCTGCCCAGGCTGGCTTTGAACCATGATCCTGAGATCTCACCCTCCTGAGTAGCTAGGATTACAGGCGTGAGCCATTGGTGCCTGGCATTTTGTTTCTTTGTTTAAATTTTGGAATATTTGCATATATACAATTGAGTTATCTTAAGAGATGGATCCCAGCTGAAACATGAAATCCATTTGTGTTTGATGGGTACTATATATATCTTGCCTGAAGGTTATTTGTATCCTATTTGGGAATGCCTGTGTTTTGACTACAGCCCACTGTGGCATGAGTTCAGGTGTGGGGTTTCCACCTGTGCCATCATGTTGGTGCTGAGTGTCTTTCTGATTCTGCTTTTGAGATTGCACTTAGGGGCTCTTGCTGCTGGAGTGTTATTCCAAGACTCAAGCTGGCTGTGACATTTTTAAATAATTCATACCAACTAAGTCTTAAAGTTACATTGAGGAATTTATTTTTATTAGTTCAGTATTTATTTATTTATTTATTCAGCCAGTCCTGGGGCTTGAATTCAGAGCCTGCTTTTGCTTTTTGCTCAAGGCTAGCACTCTACCACTTGAGCCACATCACCACTTCTGGCTTTTTCTGTTAATGTGGTACTGAGTAACCATACCCAGGGTGTCATGCATGCTAGGCAAACACTCTACCACTAAGCCATATTCCCAGCCCCTAATCCAGTAATATTTGAATGTCTTGCTCCAAGGTCCATGTAGTATGATTTGTTCTAAATTGCCACCTATGTGCATTTGATATGCAGAAATGCTACTGCTTTGGTTTCTTCCTTTGTAAACATGGTACCAGTTCTTATACTATTCAGTTTAAGAGTTCTAGTTTTCATTGTTTTTTAATAAACTTCCATTGTGTATTTGGATAAGTAGCTAGTGACTGTTCACTTGTAAAGCATCAACTTCAGTAGTTATACTGCTGTACAACAGCAAGTCCTTGACTATTTCTTTCTTAAAAATTTAGTAAAATCTTTCTAGAGTAGAACATTCCCCACAGCTCTAGCAGTAATCTGGTATAATATTTTACACTTAGGCTGGGTGGTGTGGCTCAACTGGCAAAACACCTACCTAGCAAGTACAAGACTCTGAGTTCAAACCCTAGGACCACTGAAAGGGAAACAAAGCTTATACTTAGGATCCTTTGTCAAGTACGCTTAACTCATGACCATAAATTTGAAAGATTGAGGTTCAAATTCTGTGTGGTTTTTTTTGGAGGGGTCCTGTCATGGGGCCTGAACTCTGGGTCTTGGCACTGTCCCTCAGCTCTTCAGCTCAAGGCTAGCGCTCTACCACTTGAGCCACAGCGCCACTTCTGGCTTTTTTCTTTTTGCTTATGTGGTGCTGAGGA